AAAAAAAAAAAAAGACTTAAAACCTCAAAATCTCCTAATTGATGACAAAGAAACAATTAATTTGGCTGATTTTGGCCTTGCTAGAGCTTTTGAAATACCTATTCAGGTATATACACATGAGGAGTAACACTCTGGTACAGATCCCCAGAAGTATTGCTGGGGTCAGCTCGCTACTCGACTCCAGTTGACATTTGGAGTATAGGCACCATATTTGCAGAATTATCAACTAAGAAACCACTTTTCCATGGGGATTCAGAAATTGATCAACTCTTCAGGATTTTCAGAGCTTTGGGCACTCCCAATAATGAAGTGTGACCAGAAGTAGAATCTTTACAGGACTGTAAGAATACATTTCCCATGTGGAAACCAGGAAGTCTAGCATCCCATGTCAAAAACTTGGATGAAAATGGCTTAGATTTGCTCTCAAAAATGTTAGTCTATGATCCTGCCAAACAAATTTCTGGCAAAATGGCATTGAATCATCCATATTTTAATGATTTGGACAATCAGATTAAGAAGATGTAGCTTTCTGACAATAAGTTTCCACATTCCAAATAGCTTTATTTTTTACTGTTAACTCTATTTTTGTCTTGTATATTTTTCTTTTCTTTGTTGTAAAACTTATGCTGTACTTCTAATTTTAAAAATATAACTTAAAAATGTAAATAGTCTATATGAATTTAAATATAATCTGTATATGCGTGTAGATCTCACTGTAACAACCATTTGTTACTATAATAAAACTATAAATCTAAAAAAAAAGAAAAAGAAAAAACACTGGGGACTTGGTACCTATCACTGGGCTCTACTATAAACAAATACATAAATGCAGTGGAACCTCTGTCAAACACCTGGAGTAGGAAACAGGCCTAATATATTCCATATTTTTCCATATTACCATATCAAGAATTTTCAGGGATTAGTTGGTTCAAGACTTATGATTTGGCTCAAGGAGTATACAAATACATTTAATAAAGGGTCATGACAGGATTCCATCACAGTAAATGTGAGGCAATTCTGCCATCTGTCTCATTAATGTAAATATCCTCAATGATATCTATTTTTTCCTAAGGAGCTCAAAATCTTGTTCTGCCACTGTTTCAAACATCAGCAAAGTGATACAAAGATTGTCCTACAAAAAGCTTTATCAGCTTGATGTCTATTAGCCTTTTCACGGTAACCAATATCAGAGAGATGCTTCTGATGAAAAGAAGGACCAGCAGTCCAAAAGAGAAAAAAAAATAATAAACATCACTGCCATGGGTTACAGTTTTAATTTTTATTAAAAAATTTTTTTTCTAAACTACTTGATTGTTTTATACTAAATCTGATTGATTTCAAGCACTAGAGTTGTGGTTTCCATTATCTGCATGTCTGTATTCTCTCACAGAACTTCACAGCTTAGAATTTGATCTCCAATTGCATTTATATCAAAGTTTTTTCCTTTTTGTTTTTTGAGACACAGTCTCACTTGGTCAGAGAGTGCTCTAAAATCATAGCTCACAGCAACCTCCAAACTCCTGGACTTAAGCAAATCCCTTGCCTCAGCCTCCCCAGTAAGTGGGGCTACAGGTGCCCACCACAACACTCAGCTATTTTTTTAGAGATGGGGGTCTCGCTCTTGCTCAGGCTGGTCTCGAACCTGTGAGCTTAGGTAATCCACCTGCCTCGGCCTCCCAAATGCTGGGGTTACAGGCATGAGCCACCTCGACTGGCTCACATTTATATCAAAGTTAACAAAATACTGACAGGTTCTTTACTTGGCTTATAGTAAATCACCAAAAAGGTGTACTTAAATGAAGAACTACAAATTCCAAGTGTAGGTGAAGATGAAGAATTCACAAAGCAATAGTTTCTGTCAGTGAAATGAAATATTTGCTCAAGAGAAGTATGAAGTGTGTAATGCTGTTGGTTTTTATGTTATCTCACTTTAGAATTTTACAGTTGTAGATGGACTGAGCCAATGGATCAATCAGATATATTAATTAAAACAATAGCTTGTACTCTATGTCACTAACTGTCAGTGAAAGCTTTGAAGTTAGTTTTTTTGGTAGAAACAAAGGTAGTTAAATGATCTTTCTTTTCTTGTTCAAAGAAACAGTCAATGGCCAGGCTCAGTGGTTCACACCTGTAATCCTGGCACTCTAGGAGGCCAAGGTGGGTGGATTGCCTGGGCTCACAGTTTTGAGAATAGCCTGATCAAGAGGGAGACCCTGTCTCTGAAAAATAGCCAGGCATTGTGGCAGGCGCCTGTAGTCCCAGCTACTCAGGAAGCTGACTGAGGCAAGAGATCGCTTAAGCTCAAGAGTTTGAGGTTGCTGTGAGCTATGACACCACAGCACTCTACTGAGGACAACAAAGTGAGACTGTATCTCAAAAAAAAAAAAAAAAAAAAAAAACTTACCTAACATCTTCTAGGAGGTAATCCCTTTTCTCTAATTTTGGAGGAAAGATTTCTTTGTTCTTCTTTTGGCACAAATGTACTTTCTAAACATAAAAGAACTAAAAATAAATGAAAATCCCACAAGACTCTTATACACAAACAAAAGAAAAGCCCAATGAAAAAGAAACTGGAAAACATTGGGAATAAATATTATACCACTACTACATAAGAAGTTGAACTGAACTGAGCAGACTAGAACAATAAACATACATTTACCTATACTAATTTAGTACAGTTTTTTTTTTGAGACAGAGCCTCAAGCTGTCCCCCTGGGTAGAGTGCTATGGCATCACAGCTCACAGCAACCTCCAACTCCTGGGCTCAAGCGAGTCTCCTGCCTCTGCCTCCCAAGTAGCTGGGACCACAGGTGCCTGCCACAACGCCCGGCTATTTTTTGGTTGCAGCCGCCGTCATTGTTTGGCGGGTCCAGGCTGGATTCGAACCTGCCACCTTAGGTGTATGTGGCTGGCGCCTTAGCCGATTGAGCTACAGGCGCCGAGCCTTTAGTACAGTTTTTAAAATGAACATAGTATTCAATGTTTGTGAGAGTAAAGTGTTATTTGCATCTGTTAGTAAAAATGCAATTCAAAAAATGAGTAATACAGATTGAGAGAACTTTCCCAAGAACATTTATTCTGTTTGACCTTCTCATTCTACTCCTGAAAAAATAATCTGAAATATGGCCTAGCTTCAGACAGAAAAATATTTATTCAACACTATCATGGCAAAAACGTGAAAACAAATTACATGAGTAACAATAATTTCAGTACATAAAATAAGTGAATGTAATAAAGACATTAAAAATGCCTAGAACAAGTTCTTAACAATAAAGGAAAGGCCAGGCATGGTGGCTCACACCTATAATCCTAGCACTCTGCGAAGCCAAGGCAAGTGGATAGCCTGAGCCCAGGAGTTTCAGACCAGCCTGAGCAGAGTGAGACCCAGTCTCTACTTAAAAAAAAAAAAAAAACCTTAGTCACTAGCCACTAATTGGGTGCAGTGGCAGCACCTGTAGTCCCAGCTACTCAGGAGGCTGAGGCAAAAGGATTACTTGAGCCCAGGAGTTTGAAATTGCTATGACCTATCAGACCACAGCACTCTATCCAGGGTGACAGAGTAAGACTCTGTCTAAATAAATAATTTATGATATAGTACCAGATTAATAAAAAGGGAGAATGTAATTATACATATACCACATAATCAACTATGTTAAAAATGCAAACAAATAAAAAAGAAAGAATGGAAAGAAACAAAAATGTTGCTAGTGATTCTAACCAGAACAGGATATTTTTTTCTTTTACACATTATCATATTTTCTACATTTTTCGTAAACTGCCTCTATTTTTTTTTTTTTTTTTTTT